TTTTCTTCTCAGGGAATAGTTTTAGTAATGGCTCTCTAAGTCAAAGGGTTAGAGAATATGGACATATATATATTAAAAGTGAATAAGGACGAAAATTAATCAGTTTAATCATTCCAAATTGAAATTTCACAGAAAATCATATTATGACTTAAAAATTATGCTAATCTCACATGTGAAGTCAATTTCGGATTATTAAGCCTCTAAGGTTCTAAATTTCTAATTTAAACATCTTAAGTGTGACAGATAATTTTCCTTATCATACAGATCATATGATTCACTTAATGAAACTCAATTTCACATAAAATTCCACAGTAAGCATTTAAATGCTCAGAATAAGGAACTGAAAAAATACCAGAAACAGATACGAGGATCGGGTTATTACATATCAAGGGGGCCGCACGTGCGAAATTCAGGGACTTGTTTGGTGTGCTCACTGCTATATATGCACGAGCGGAGTGTGGTGCGGGAGAGAATCCCCGCACGTACGGGGGTGAGGGTCGCACGTGCGCGAAGGGAGCGCCGCACGTGCGGCAGTCTGGGCAGCCCGAAACCTTGTTTTTTGTATCTTTTTGGTCCGAATGTATCACTCATTTTACACATCTCTCTCTCACTCTAAACCTTAATTTTCTCCCCTTTCTTTCTAGAAAACAACCTCACACATTAAGACTCCTTGATTTTGCAAATTTGTGGGTTAAGATCATTATCATCTTCCTCTAATCTTGAAGATCTAGGGCAAGAACTCCATTTGGTGTGGTGGAAGTCAAGCTCTCTCATCTTTTGATTCTAGGGTTCCTTCTCCCAATCTTCTCCAAAACATTGAGGTAGGGAAATTTTCCATGAGTTATATATACTATATATATATATATATATATATTTATGTTTGATTTGGTTGATTTAAGAGTTTTCATTAATGATGTTGAAAGTGTAGTCTTGTCTCATAAATGCTAGAGTTCAAGGTGGGTTTTGATCTCTCTCTTTCTAAACTATCTTCTAGAGGATTTTACTCACATAATAGGAGGATGTCATCTTGAGAGAAAACCCTCTCAAAAGAGAGGAGAAGGTTTGCCTTGGTTTTGACATAAAACCCTAGAGAATTTTTAGGGATTTTTGATAAATATGAATATGTTTATGAGCATCATGTGTTTTGTATTAAGAAAGTGAATTTTCATCATATGTTTAGCAAGAATGGCAAATTATTTGATACATGAGGAATGAGGTGTTGTTTCAACATTATTGTTAAACCTTGGAATGTGTATTGTTATGAAATAACAAATAATTGGGCATGATGGGAAAGTGTTGTTACTATGAGATGATACCATGTAAGCTATATCGTGAAAGAGCATTGAAGAGAAGAAATGAGAAGCATTGTGTGGCATGGAGAAATCTTGATGTTGCATATCCATTCAATTTAATTTAATTTTATGCATTGTAAACTTGGATTGAAGATATTTTTCTTTTTCATAAATGAGAAAAGGCTTGTAATGAGAACTATGAAACTGTGTATGGGGTAAATACGGTGGTAAGTCCGGTTAGGGGGTGTAGATGAATTTTATAAGTTGGCCCGAGTGTCCTTGGTGAAAGACTAGAAAACCGTGCGAATAGGTGCCGTGCTTTCCGGTTAATACCGGTAAAAATGACAGTTTGATAGTACTTGTAGAGTCTACTTGCATACACCAGCCTAGGGATTACTAGTGTCGCATTTACTGCCCCTTGTAAATAAAAATTTAAAATTTGGAAATTTATGAGATTATAACTGTAAATGAAATGCATGGTGTTTCTTAAGAAAGACATGAATAATATTTTGAAAAGGGTATTGCATTGCACTTGCACTTGCACTTGCATTCAATTTTGGCCTTCTTACATAAATGTATATACTTTGTGTGGTATTTCTCTAGTGGGCTTTATGCTCACCCCTATGGGACTTTGGTGCAGGTAAAGACGTGGTGATCCTGCTAAGTTGAGGGCGCGAATGATTGTAAAGAGCACATAGCTCTTACTTTTATTGTGATCTTTTTGTAAGCCAAGGGCTAATGTGTTTAGGTCCGAGAGACCATTTTGTGTAACCGGGCTACTGCCTTGGAACTTGTAAGCTCCTTGAGGGCCTTATTCGTTTTGATTTAATGATTTTACATGCTATAGATTCATGTACTAATTTGTCAATGAATGTATAATCGCATGTGAAATTACTTTTGTAAAACATTTGGAATCATGTAAGGGAACAAGGTTAATATCTCATTTTGAAAGGATTATTGTTATTGTGTAGTGAATGTTTAATTAACGTAGGTAGTTCATGTTGAATCATTTTTGGGGGCGTTACAATATGTGCAATCCATAATCAATATACGTGGGAAAGACTGAAATAGGTCCAAACTGGCAGGATGTGCCCAGAACAAGTCTGTCACAGTCATCGTGGACTATTCACATCGATGGCGCTCAATGTAATTATACTTGGCCAATTCAACCAATAAGTATTGCATCTGTGATCTTTTAGCTCTCTTTACCACCTTGTTTCGATGGCGTACATTGTAAATGGTTTTAAGTGTGCTTTCATTGAGGGCATCTTGCTGTTTCAAGGTTACTAGGATCTCTTTTGGCCCAGCCATGCTCTTTGACATATCTATTAACAATGATTTCTCATCATTTGACCGCCTCCTCGCATATGAATGTCACTCAAGATCCTCCGCAGGTGGATGGTTATGTAATCTGCATACTATAGTCAATGTCCATTCAGCATTTGTAGTGAACCTGTGAGCCCTCATATCAAAAGGACAACCACACTTCTTCGTATCGGTTATTCTTGATGTATTGTTGCCATCATCTTTTAACTTCTTTCTTGCTCTATATTGGCCACTCCTGTCACAAGCAAGATACATCCTGGGTCTTTTTTCCCCTCCACTATAGTCTGATGTTTTGATTACAATGACCAAACCATTTCTCTTTCCAACTTCATGTACCTAGTTGTGCAATTCATCCTTACTTTTGAACGCCTACAAAGTCAAATAAATATTATCAAACATTTACATTTGTTGAACAATTCAAAACACAAACATTATAATTTCGTAGAGTAAACATGTTCAGCTGTGAATTAAGTAGTGTAACCCAACACACCATCCGCGTGAACCTCACTTCCTTGAGTTGAGGCATATTTCTGCAAGTTTTGTATAATATTACAAATTTGAAATAGCATTATAAAGACAAATTTGCTATTTCAAACAACAAATTTAGTAGGTGTTTGGCATCTCCTAAAAAAGCCAAAAAGTCACTAAAAAAAGTAAAAAAGTTAACACTATTCACATACACCATTTGACATTTTTGGTGAAAAAAAAAAATTGTGTAGCACAGTGCACTGCACGGGACCTAAACAATATTTTAATACCATCACAGTGTAGCACAGTACACTGCACGGAACCCAAACAATATTTTAATACCATCACAGTGCAAGACAATGCACTGTACGAAACCCTGCACAGTGCAGCACAGTGCATGAAGGTAATTTTGCTAGTTGATACAATATTTTAATACATATTTTTTCGTAAAAAGTCAAAAAGTTATCCTAAGCATACATATTTTTTTCTCTATTTTTTTAGCCAAAAAGTTAAAAAGTGCACTTATATAATTTATCCCAAACAACCCCTTAGTATGTAATTTACAAATTTGGAATATAAAATGAAAAAACAAAACTTTTACTTCATTCGGAAGTGCAATGTCAAAAAAACTACAACTATTCGAATGTAGGTGTTCGAATTTATTTTCATGGTTCGGAAGTTGCATATCGAATATTTTGATTTAGTTCGAAATACAACTTTCGAAATTAACTAATTAATTCGATAATAGACTATCGAATAGATTAATACATTTCGATCCTGGTTTTTCGGAAAGACGCTCGAAAAAAAGAAGTTACGATTTTTACATAGCAAAACTCACATTTCCTATTCATTGGAAAAAAATTCACATTTCTTTGGCTATCTATCTCATAAACAGTTATTTGCTTTTGAAAATTTGAATTTTCAAAAGGGAAATCTTCCATAACAATGATGAATGAGGATAAAGTTTAGTGTGTAAACTAATGAAAAGCAAAGAATGAAGAATGTGAGTGTTTAGGTCAAGTTTGACATCTACTAAATAATACAAAAAGTCAAAAAGTCATTATCCTATTTAAGTCACATCATCTTATTTAAATCACATCACCTCTCTAACACATCACATCAAAACCAACCCAAACACAACCCAAACCCAACCCATATAAGTCAATAAGTCAAAAAGTGCACTTTTTTAGAACATCCCAAACCAACCCTTAGTGTGTAAACTAATGAATGAAAGTTAACAATAACGGGTTTGAAAGAATGATGATGGAGTGTGGAGGTTTAGCAAATTGAGTGTGGAAGAAGGGAGTGTGTGACCATGGAGTGTGGAGTTTCAACGTGTAGTGTGAGATGTGTATTGAGAACTTCTGTGTTTATTTAAATTGTGTGTGAATATCCATAGTAGCAATTTTATTTAGGAATAAAATTGTAATAAAAATAAGTTTATTTGTTTGTACGGGGAGGAGTGTGTGTGAAAATAGAAGCTATAACACTGTTGGGTAATAAAAATTTAAATTTGAATTTATACATCAAGGGTTGGTTTGGGATATCCTAAAAAAGTACACTTTTTAACTTATTGGTGGGTTTGGGTTGGGTTTGGGTCGGGTTTGATGTGATGTGTTAGAGAGGTGATGTGATTTAAATAAGATGATGTGACTTAAATAAGATAGTGACTTTTTGACTTTTTGACTTATTTAGTACATGCCAAACTAGCCCCAAGTGTCCTTTTATTAATAATTTCTTAAAAAAATAAAAAAAATCGAAAACGTATGCAAACATCAATATATCATGAAAAATCATGAAAATATTTAAAACGGGTAGCAAGGGCTAACACGAAAATATTTTCATCGTAAATTGTACGCATCTGATCCAATAAAGAAAAAAAATAAAAAATAAAAAATAAAAATAAAATCGCAGCCCTCGTGTAGTAATTTATTTCTTCAGTTCTTCTTCCCCAACGAGAGAGATATACACTGCAACAAAAATTAGGGTTTCTGATTCAGCGTATCAAAACCCTAACCCCCAAATCACCCGCAATCTTCAATCGCTCTCTCTCTCTCTCTCTCGCTTCTCGCGTACAATCAGCTATTGATCTGAATTACTTATTGTGATGATCACATCAGATTTACACGATATTTTAATCACTCGCACACTCTAGTTTCGACTCTGCGCACCACTGTCCAATTCTTCCCAATCAAACACTCGAAGAATCGAGTGATCTTTATACACACATCAAATATAGAGTCAATAAATTATGGACGTTGAAGGGAATAAGCGCGTATTCCAGCGGCTCGGACCTTCGAATGATAACAGAAATCAGAAGGTTTGTTATCATTGGCGGGCGGGAAAATGCGATCGATTCCCATGCCCATACTTGCACAGAGAGTTACCGCGGCCGCAAAATGGCACGGCATCGTCGAAACGGCCTCATGGCTTCGCTGATGATCAGCCAATGGTCCGTCGAAATCCCAATAATTTTGGTAATTCTTCAAGTTGGGGACGAGCTCATGGTGGTGGTGTTGCCGGTAAGATTGTCAAAACTGAAAAAGTTTGTAATTACTGGGTCCAAGGGAGTTGTAGTTATGGGGATAAATGTAGATACTTGCATTCGTGGTGTACCGGCGATTGCTTTTCACTATTGACCCAGCTTGAGGGACACCAGAAGGTAACCATGAACTTATTCATACATATATATGATCAAATTAGTGTTAATTTTTTGAGTTTGAGTCTATTTTGGGCTTTCTATCTGTTAAATTATTAGGTACTTGTTTAGTTTATCTGTGTTATGTTTATTAGGTTTGTTAACCTTCAAAAAGATTATGTTTTTCTGATTTATTTTGGTTGATTTTTGGTCTTCTTAGTGGTTGAATACTCTTTCTTTCAATAGGTTGTTACCGGGATCACTATGCCATCTGGATCAGATAAGCTTTATACAGGGAGCAAGGACGAGACTGTGAGGGTTTGGGACTGCCAATCTGGGCAGGTTTTTTTTATTATCTTAATCTCCTGTATTTATTTTGTGAATTAGTTCCTCTCTCTCTCTTTCTCTTTTTTAATCTAGAAACCTCCTCTGCATATTCAAAATATTTGGATAAAGAAACAACCAAGACCTCTACTTGGTAGTTTGTACAATGCTGTTTGGATGTCCCTTTATACATTGTTTTCTGTATTTGAAGCAAATGAATGGAAACACTGGCCTTGTCGGAAAAGGTTGAAAACATTCGCTGATAAAGCAAGCAAAAAAAATAAAAGATTTTGTTAAGAAGCCTAAAAGTGTTGTACGTATGTATGAAAGTGCGTGTAATAAAGAATGTATAATATTTTTGAACATTCTTAACCGTGCCTAAGGGCATACCTTTACAACACTCAAACTGGAATCAAGAACGCATTACTCTACCCAATCATCCTAAATTAGAAGACCATAAAATTTCATTTTATTTTGTTTTCCTTAGTTTTCTTGTCAATCTGATGGGGGGCACTGGAATTCATGCAAACTATGCGGTATGTCTGTGTTTTCTGCAGTGTGCAGGGGTGATTAATTTGGGTGGTGAAGTAGGTTGCATGCTCAGTGAAGGCCCATGGGTATTTGTTGGTATACCAAATGTTGTCAAGGTAAGGTGGGCGGCATATTTTACACCCTGTTGATAATAGTTGTAGTTCACTAGTTCATTGTTTTCGTTCTTTTTCACATTTTTCTTAGTTGTGTGAGTGTAATATTATTTTACCTACTTGGGTCTGATGGTGATACTGCAGGCATGGAATATCCAAACGGCTACTGACCTGAGTCTTACTGGACCTATTGGACAAGTCTATGCCCTGGTTGTGGGAAATGATTTGCTCTTTGCGGGCACACAGGTAAACCTTTTGACTATGATTGTGTTGTGGAGCATTATCCTATTAACTAAAATGTTTTATTCTCATAGTCTACCTTACCATGTTGGGGCTTTCAGTATTTCACAAGTTGGCGTTGCATCTCCATGTAGGCTTTGTTGGAATCAAAATTTTGGCTGTGTAACTTGGAACCTGCTTAGGAAAGCCCTTGCATGGTTGTTCTAGCTTTGGCTTCTCCTTCCTCTCTCTTTGGTATTAACATATTTCATTTGGTAAAACGATAAATTTCTGTTGCAGGATGGCACAATATTGGCATGGAGATTTAATGCAGCTGCTAACACCTTTGAACCAGCTGCAACCCTTAAGAGTCACAATCTTGCTGTTGTCACATTAGTTGTTGGAGCTAATATGCTATACTCTGGTTCCATGGATCATTCTATAAGAGTAAGTCAGCTGTAGTGAGATATGCATCATGCATCATTTATTTCTAATTCTTTAAGCAGTGCTTAGTGTTAGGATTAGTCCACTCATGTGATCACGGTGGGTCCCTTACAGTTGTTAGGTTGGTTTATACATGTATTTGAGTTAGGATAATAGAGTTCGGAATCTACTAGGAAACCTAATATATGTAGGATTTGGTTACCTTTTCTTGGGTAAGTGATTTGGTTACCTAATTTTATGGAACTAGGATTCTTATGCGTAGACTATTATAAATAGTTATGTGGACTATAGGGTTTCTTTGAGAGAGATCGTGTGAGTGGTGAGGGAAAAAATAGAGATGCAAGGGGTGAGAGAAAAAATACCATGAGGGCATTGGGTGAAAAAGAGCTCAACTACCTGTTAGTATGGGTTCGGGCAGTGGTGTAGGTTTTGAGTGTTTTAACCATTTCACACGTATTCTCTATTTTATTCATACTGGAAGCTCTCTCTTCCATAAATGTAGACAATTTGAGCTAAATCACCTAAATCTGTGTGTGATTGATTTTTCTTTTTGATGTGTATGTGAGAGTACTTTTGTTTATATTGATGAGATGTGGTATAAATCCTAACACATATTTCGGCGATTCTGATTAAATATTGCAGACTTCTAACAAAACTCCAATAATTTGCAATGGTATATATTACGGATCAAATACTTGATGGTTCCTCCAAAATCAATGCATGGATATGACTGTTAAGAACCACAATTACATCCTTTCAACAATAAGGAAAATAAGATCATAAAAAATTAAAACCTAACCAATTTGCACCTATTAGCTTGTCCTTACCCAAATGGTTTCAATCTAATATCACAAAATATATCTATCTAATAAAACATAATGAAAATATACATCTAACATAATTGGTTAGAAGATCAATCCATCTATGAGATTAATAGTTAGATTTGCTTGACTATAATGATTCTAGTTTAGACCTGACCCATTTGATGTTTTGGATCTGGGTTTCATTGCCTTATATAGTTGTTCTTGTCTTGTTTCCCCTTATTTCTCTTTGATTTTGGCTATTGGGATGTATTGGTTGCGTTTGGAACAAATTGGTAACTGATTTTTCAAACTGTTGCTGCCTAGAATTTTGCTTCTTCGCTCGAGCGGCACTTCTTATGCTGGAGTGGTCTTTGTAAGCTTCCAATACTTTTTGCAAGTCTGCAAAGATACTGGAGTTAGCATTTTTTGCTTGAGCAGTATTTCTTGTGCTGGAGTAGTGTTCGCTTGAGCGAGCCTTCTTGTGCTCGAGTGGTGGTTCTTTGTCTGTAAAACTTTTGGGAGTTGGTATTCTTCACTTGAGCGGTGTAACTTATTGTGTTTGGTCGCTCGAGCGACATTTCTTGCACTCGAGTGGTTTGCTCGTATATCAGTTCGTAAAGTCACTTTTCCGAGTCACTTTTTCACCTCTTTCTCTCTCTAAACTTTTCAAAACCCTATTTTCTCTCACACTCTCTCTAAAACTCATCTATTTCACTCAAATACCCTTAGATCCGTCGACCTTTTCACCCATATCCCTTTGTTAAAAAGGTAAAGCTCGACGAGGGTTTCGTTCTAATCGGAGCAAAGTTGATTTTCGGCGTCTTTGAGTTTTCTTCAATCTCCCTCTCGTCTTCTGAGCTTGAGGTAGGGATTCTTCGCACTTTCTATGAGTTTTAACTTAGTTATTTGTTATTTTTAAACAACATTGTGATTTTGGAGATTTTTGAAACAAATCTAGGATTTTGGGTTAACGATCAAAAGAGGGGTTTTCAAATCGATTCTTAGAAATGATTGTGGTGTTGAAAATAAAGTTGAGTTGTGATAAAATGGTTGATTTTGATACATGGGATTGACTTTGGAGGAACATGGGATTTTGCCTTAAATGTTTCAAATGTTGATTTTATATAAATAATGAATTGATGTTGGAAATGTGGAATTGGGTTGATATTGATGAGGATGGTGGAGTTGGATAGGTATTATCACTCACATCTTGAAACTTGGAAGGCTTATTTTTATTGGAAATTGTTTACCGGTTTAGAAATATCTGTTTTGTGCTATCAGTGGACGATAGCTATGATTGTTGTAAAAATTGCATGAGAATTAGGAGAATTGAAACTATTTTCTCATCTATTTGCATTAAGCATTATTTTATATTTATACATGGGAAATGTTTATCGTTTTGAGAAAAAATGTTGAATCTGAGAGGTATGTGTTGTCTAATTGAAATAAGTTGGCCTAAGTGTCCATGATGAAAGTCCTAAAAATTATGGGTATACATGGGTGCCTATCCCACAGACAAAATTTTTGTGAAATGGCAATAGTAGTGCTTGTATAGCCTACGTTTACATGGGTGCCGATTTACGGTTTCCCATAGATGAAATTTTCGTGAAAGGTTGCATTGGTTTTGAGATTCTCATAGTGTGATTCACTGCCCTGTTTTTTATTATAAAGGAAATGATTTATGACTTGTGATATTAACTTGGTATTGCATGGTTTTTGGAAAGAGATATAAAATGTTTTGGCACAAGTATTACATGTGCATTCACCTTATATCTTTGTTAAGATTCATATACTGTGTTGGATTATTTCTACTAGGCTTTGGCTTACCCTATGTGGGAAAAACATTTTCAGGTGCTGATGACATACCTCTGCCAAGGCAATAATTTTGGGAGGACTTGGAGCAAGAGCTTATTATGCTTATTTTTGTACAAGCCAAGGGCTTTAACTATATCAGATTCAAATCCATTTTTGTTGTAACCAAGTATTGACTTGGAAAACTGTAAGCCCTTAGGGCATTTATTATTTGTTTAACTTCTATCCTATTTCTTTATTATGTAACATATGCTATAGATTTAGGGTTAGGTTTGTGAATGTATACCTGCATATGTTACTTTTCTATAATAGTGATTGGGACTAATGGAGGATTATTTCCTTATCAAGTGATGTATGTAATCAGTATTGTGGGTGGTTTATTGTATTTATTTCAGGGTGTTACATTGACCAAAAATAATTTTCCCTTACAAAGAAGTTTTAGTAATTTCCTAACACCTTCCTCTTTTTCCTTTTTTTCCTATTTTTTTTTCTATTTTCTCTTCCTAACCATTTGCAATTTTATAGCTATTCTAGTTTAAACTCGACCTGTTTATTATTTTAGATCCGGGTTTTCTTGTCTTGATGGTTGTTCATGTCACCTTCTATCTTATTCCTTGTTGGGTTTGGTTATTGGTTGAGTCTGAAACAGGCTTGGAGGTTAGTTTTTCAAAGTGTTGTTGCCTAGAAATTTGCATGTTCACTCAAGCAGCCATTTCTAAGCTCGAGCGATCTTTTACAGTTTGCAAAACTATTGGAAGTTTGAGTTTTTTGCTCAAGCGGTCATTCTTGTGCTCGAGCAAACTTTTGCAAGTCTAAACTACTAGGAGGGGTGCATTATGCGCTCGAGCGACCTTTCTTGCACTCAAGCGGTGTCTTCGTTGTGTCTAGTCGCTCGAGGGACCATTCCTGCACTCAAGAGATTTGTGAGTATATTAGTCCGAGGAAGTCACTTTTTGGATCACTTTTTCAGTTCTCTCTCTCTCTCTCTAAATCTCAGTCTACTCTCTCTTTCTCTCTCTCTCTCTTTAGAAAACATCTCTAAACTTCAAATACACCTTGATCTAACGATTTCCTCACCCTAAATCCTTTGTTAAAAAGGTAAAGTACGTCAAGGGCTTCGTTTTAATCGGAGAACTTTGTGTTTTCGGCTCCGTTGAGTTCTACCCATCTCTCGTTTGAGTCTTCTTCTTCAAGGAAAGGATTACTTTGACACTTTGTATGGCTTTTAACTTAGTTATTTGATTTTTTAAACCATGTTATGGTTTGGGAATTTTTAAACAAAAATCTAGGGTTTTGGTTTAAAAATTCAAAAGAGGGGTTTTCGAAATGGGTTCTGGTGTATGGTTGTGGCTTTGTAAAAATGGTTGGATTATGATAAATGATGGATTTTATTTATGGAAATTGATTTTTAAAGAAATGGGGTTTTGCCCTAAATTGTGAGAATTTAATTTCTGTAAAGAGAAAATGAAATTGATGTTGGTTTTATGAAATTAGAACGATAATGATAATGGTGGTGGAGCTGGATATGAATTATCACTCTTATTTGGAAATGTTGAAAAGTATATTTGTATTGAAAATTATTTATCTATTTAGAGATAACTATTTTAGGCTATCGGTGGAGGATAGCTATGATTGTTGTAGAAATTGCATGAGAATTAGGTAAATTGAAACCAATTTCTCATCCATTTGCATTAAACATTGTAACATATTTAACACATTGAAAATGTTTATTGTTTTGAGAAAAATAGGTGAATACCTTGGTGAATCTAGGTTGGGAGTATAATTGTGGTATTAAGTTGGCCTATGTGTCCTTGGTGAAAGTCTAGAAACCCACGCGGTTAGATGCCGAGCTTTCCGGTTAGTACCGGTAAAAATGGCAATTGGTAGTGCTTGTAGCCTACTTGCAGACACATCCTAGATATTCCCAGTGTTGTATACATTGTCTTGTTTTCTATTGTAAAAGAGATGATTTCATGAATTATGATATAAGCCTAGCATTACATGATTTTTGAAAAGAGATATAAAATGTTTTAGCATGAGCATTGCATATGCATTCACCTTATAACTTTGTTAAGATTCATACACTGTGTTAGATTATCTTTACTGTGCTTTGGCTCACCCTATGTGGAAAATCATTTTCAGGTGCTGATGATATACTTCTGCCAAGGCCGTAGTTTGGGAGGACTTAGAGTCAAGAGTTTATTGTTTTGTTTTTGTTGTATTTATTTTGTACAAGCCTAGGGCTTTATTTGTATTGAGTTTCAAACTCACTTTTGTTGTAACCAAGTATTGTCTGGGAAAGTTATAACCATTAGGACATTTATATATCTGTTTGACTTTTATTTCATATCTCTTACTTACGACACAAACTATAGATT